TGTGAGTACCGCCCCAAATGCAGGCGCTGCTTGCCCCGGCCAGAGGGGGGGGCGTGGGAGGGAAACGCTGTGAGTACCGCCCCAAATGCAGGCGCTGCTTGCCCCGGCCAGAGGGGGGGGCGTGAGAGGGAAACGGCCCCCACGCCGGCCAAGGGTCACGCTCAGCTCCATCGGTCCCCTAACCCATCCGCACCCCTAGCTGCCAGCCCCAAACCCTGGCAGGGGGCTAGCACGCAGGAGGCGTGGGGAGGGGCAGGGCTGCTACGGCTGGGTCCAGGGGGAGACATGGGAAGGGGCAGGAGGCATGCGGGCAGGAGGGGTGGGGAGGGGAGGGGCAGGCGTGCTATGGCTGGGTCCAGCAGAAGGCAGGGGGACGGGGCTGAATGGCCGCTGGACCCCTGGGACTTCCCTTCCAGCTCCACCTGGTGGCGCTGAACACCCCGCTGAGCGGCGGCATGCGTGGCATCCGCGGCGCCGACTTCCAGTGCTTCCAGCAGGCCCGGGCTGTGGGGCTGACCGGCACCTTCCGTGCCTTCCTGTCCTCCCGCCTGCAAGACCTGTACAGCATCGTGCGCAGGGCTGACCGGAGCGGGGTGCCCGTCGTCAACCTCCGGGTACGTGCACACCCCGGGCAGAGCCGGCTGGCGCTCAGACAGGCTGGCGGAGGTGGGCATGGCCCAGGCTGCAGCTGGGCAGGTGCCTGTTCCCTCCCCGGGCAGGCTCGCTGGCCCTGCCCTCCCACTGAGGCACATGTGCGGGGCTCCCTGTACGCTGAGTGCTTGGGCCACCGCCCAGGAGAGGTTCCACAGCCGCCCCGCTGATTAGCAAGGAGCCCTGGCCAGCAGCGTGTGTTTCTACTGGTGGTGCACATCCGCACATGCTTCGGTGCACACAACACTGTTTATTCCGCGCACTGAGGTAAAAACGAGAGGGACCATTGGTGTGGGGCCTGCCTGCCCCCAGACGGGTGTGAGCCTTCGCCTCGGCCAGCAAGGGCCAGCGTGCAGGTGCCACTGCAGGCGCGAGGGCTGCGGTGTTTAGTGCAGTGCCCCGTGGGCCCCATGCAACGTGCTGGGCGGCCCCGGGGGCTGCTGCGGTCCCAGGGCAGGGACTAGCTTTTCTCCCCGCAGGACGAGGTGCTGTTCGGCTCCTGGGAGGCGCTGTTCTCGGGCACGGAGGCGCCCTTCCGCGCGGGCGCGCGCATCCTCTCCTTCGACGGAAGAGATGTGCTGAGAGACGCTGCCTGGTAGGGGCAGGGCAGGCCTGCTGGAACCAGCAGCAAAGTGGGGAGGAGACCTGGGGCTAGTGCCTGGGGCTGGGCTCTGCGGCCGCAGGTTGCGTGGTGGGGAGCGCACCGGGCTGCGTTCCTCCGGCCGCCCACGGGTTGGGCGTGGCCCGTGCAGTGCATGGGCAAGTGCTGGAATCGCCGGGTTCGGTCCCGCTCCCTGTGGGGTGCCCCGGGGTGGTTCCGGTGCCGGTGGCGCATGCCCATCAGCTGTTGCCGCGTGTTGCAGGCCGCAGAAGAGCGTGTGGGGTTGCGTGGTGGGGAGCGCACCGGGCTGCGTTCCTCCGGCCGCCCACGGGTTGGGCGTGGCCCGTGCAGTGCATGGGCAAGTGCTGGAATCGCCGGGTTCGGTCCCGCTCCCTGTGGGGTGCCCCGGGGTGGTTCCGGTGCCGGTGGCGCATGCCCATCAGCTGTTGCCGCGTGTTGCAGGCCGCAGAAGAGCGTGTGGCACCCGGCTGCCCCCGGGCAGGCTCCTGGAGCAGAAGGCCAGCAGCTGCCAGAGTGCCTTCGTCGTCCTGTGCATCGAGAACAGCTTCATGACCTCGTCCAGGAAGTGACCCGTGCCCAGAGGCAAAGCCAAAGAGTACTGAGCTGGCTGGGAAGGCCAGCCTGGCGCTGGCCCGCCCCCCCTGCCCCTCCTGCTTAACTCTGCGCCTGTGGGAACGCCCGCTGCTGGGGGTGGAGGACGGCCACAGCCTGTGCCACACGGTCCCAGAGCGTGCCCTCCGCTGGCTCCCCCTCCCTGTCACAGGCCAGCCCCCCAGCGCCTGTGCCAAGGTGTCCCCCGGCAGAGCCCTGCTCCCCATAGCGAGAAGGGCCTCGCCCCTGGTGAGTAAGATGGGGGGGGGCTCTTTTGGCAGCAGCGGGGTTTGTCGAATGGAGGCCGAGTCCCCGCCCTGGCCATTCTGGGCAATGCCTTCCCCTGGCGGGTCCCCCAGCCGCCGCGTGCCTTAGTCGCGCCAGGCCCCCGGCTCTACCCTTTGCATTCGACGCTGGGGAAGCACTGTGGAAAGGATTCGTACTCAGTCCTGGCAACCTGAGGTGCTAAATTGTTAACTAGCTTCTTTTTATTGTACCGAGACATTCCCCCAGCAGCTGGGCCAGGCACAGTTCCTGTCGTCTACTGTACTTGTGTAACGAACGCACTGGAAAGCCTGTGGATTTCTATTTTCTCAGTTGTGTTCTTTATGCTGTTTTCTAAGGCACTGAATAAAGGAGTCTCCTCTTGTACTCCCGGCTGTGGGGGGGGCGTGGAGCCAACAGCACGTTTCACGAAGCGGCTTTTCGTCTCGCAGCACGGCCCAGCACTAAACGTGCTTCATGCTCGCCCTGAGCCGCTCGTGCAAGGGCTGGCTGTGTCCACCCTGCTCAGCAGGGGTCTCGGGTGGGTCACAGTTGGTTCCCTGGGCGGCACGGGCCCTGTTAGCCACGGAGCTAGCTCTTGGCTCTCTGGCTCGGCAGGTTACGGCGGTGTCAGGCAGGCGGGCACAGGCTGCCGGCCACGGTCCCACATGGGTCAAGCTGCAGGTGACAGGTGGCCGCGGCAGCCCTGCCATGCAGGACAAGGGGCAGCCGGGGATTCAGCACTTGTGCACAGGGCCACTCAGCTGGCAAAGGAAGGGGCCCGGTGCTTACCTCTGCTGCTCTGGCAGGTGGGGAGGGCTGGCTCAGGGCCCTCAGGGAAAGCCAGGGCCAGGCAGTGTGACCGTCCCAGGGCCGAGCCCTGAGCCTGGCCCAGTGCGATGGGCCGGGAGCCCCAGGCTGGGTTTGCCCGGTGCAGCCTCTGCCACCCATGCCGGCCTTCTCAGCCGCGGTGCCCCTGCGAGGACATGGGGGGGCTGGGTGTGCGCACAGCCGCTCCCTGGCATCAGCTCGCTTAGACGCGCACACTCCCCTGCTCCGAGCTCCTCTCCTGCCCCGGCACCTCTTCAGCCAGGCTGCACAGCTCCTTGGCCAACACCGGCTCCTGGGGCGCCTGGCGCCGGCGGTGCATGATGGCCACGCACACGGCCAAGCCCAGGTACACCGCCGCCAACAGCGCAAAGTAGGCAGCGTAGACGTAGAACTGGGGGGAGAGAGCACAGGTCACAGCCTGGACCCAGCGGCGGGTAGCACCTTGCCCCCCAAGAACTGCCGGGGGAGGCCTGCACACTGCTCTCTAACATGGACACGAAAAATTGGCCCAAACAACCTTCACTCTGCCCCTGTCTGGTGCCCTGTTTTCCCCTCAGCCATTCCCGTGACTTTCTCCTAAGCAATTACTCGTTGCTTGGGGCATTTGGCAGCCTGCAGGCTCGGACCTGGCTCGCAGGCAGCAGGAGCCCCTCCCCATGCAAGCGGGCCAGGCTCTGTAAAAGCAGGCCCTGCCGGGAGGTTAGCCCTGCCGGCCTCAGCGCCTGACTCCGCCGCTCCGGGGTGCTGCTGGGCGCAGGGCCCACCTGCTGGCCTAGGCGAACTCTGCGTGTGGCGCCACCCAGCAGGGGCTGGCCTGGCTGCGAATGGATGTGAACGGACGGGTCTAGGGCGGACGTCGGACCCAGCCCGGCTGGGGCTGCCCCCTTACCTGCGGCCGCACGGCCAGGCCCAAGCCCCGCTTGTCCGCCACGACGATGGTGATGAGGCTCTTGAGCACGGTGGCGAAGAAGGTGTTCAGGCCGAAGACCAGGGCGCACAGCTCTTTGGAGAGGGAGGCAGCGATCTGGAAACTGGCAGAGAGCGAACCCATCAGTGCGCCCGCGGGGTCCCCCGAGCCGCCAGCCACTCACCCGGGGCTGCCTCCCCAGC